ATCCTATACAGACCGATTCCAAAATCTTCAAATGATTGTTGGAATCGGCTGTATGAATAATTTTAAACCACTCTTTTTTAAACAACTTGGCGCAGGCTATATTCTCCCCTCTGTATATATATATATATATATATATATATATATATATATATATATATAGAGAGAGAGAGAGGCGATTCAACTGGGGCCAGAAAGGGCCAATAATCCCCTCCCAGAATTTTGGTCGGCCCCTCGGTTGCCCCCCTAATTTTGTAGAGGAAAAACCTCAGGGCAGACAAATTAAACTGTTTGGTTAGTATTGACATTAGTATTAACCCTTTGATTTTGTTTTGAAGTTAACCTTTCTCGGGGTCCAACCGCTTGAGAGTGGAAAAGAGGGAAAGAATAAATTAGGACTCCACTACTATGAATGAACAGTTATTGCGTTTAATTTAGTCAAGTAATATAATTATACTAAAACTCATACCTAAGTTGTGTATAGGATATTGGTGTAGTATGAAAAAGGAAGACGATGCTTGAATTTGACCCCTCCCTTACTTCGCTGAAAAAAGTATATGCATACAGACACACCGATATATATATATATATATATATATATATATATATATATATATATATATATCGGTGTGTGAGGGTTAATACATCTTCCGTTTCAAATTTAGACACCCCACCTTTCACTGACTTGACATCTACGAAAGTAACTCTATAGTGATACTTTATTATTAACACCCAACACCCGCCTACCCAACTTAAACAATTCGCCCTAGCTGTTACCATGGAAATTTTGATTTCAATTTTTAAAACACGTAAATTTCAGAAACACGTTATTCCAAAAAAAAAAATTGCTTGAAGATGGAACAGAGCTTTTTTTAACTCAATTTAATTTAAATAATTTTAAATAATTATATTGAAGTTTTCGGCTCTTGTTTTGAAACATGGGACTTCTTACGTCGCGATTTGGAATCATATTTTTAAATAATAATTATATATATATATATATATATATATATATATATTTGTAGGTCTGATGAATTGGATCGTATTTACGATTCCAATGGAATAAATTATGACCATGGAATATTAGTGTTTTTTATTTTTTATTTATTTATATATATATATATATATATATATATATATATATATATATATATATATAATTAGAAGAAATAAGATTCTTATCGAAAGTAAAATGCTTTTTCTGCAATATTTTAAACCAAAACCAAAAAAATTGTTTCAAATCAGATTAATTAGATTTTAAATAAGTGAATCTTCCTCAAAGTTTCAGAAAATTTCATTTTATGTTTGAAAGATTTTTTATAAAAAAATAGATTACGTTGTGCCGAGAGAGTTTTAAATATGGATAAAGTCCATCATTTTTAAAGACAAATCATTTCAATCAATTTAAATTCGTTTTGAAATACAGTAAAATATTTTGCTTATAGGAAATATTAAATTTAATCTATTAGCTTTAATTTAAAACTAAAATAAAAGCTTCAAGAAAGATTTTTAATTTTAAAAAAATCATTTGAAATCTTAAGGATCACTTTTCTTTTTATATATATATATATATATATATGTGTGTGTGTGTGTGTGTGTGTGAAAAAAATATAAGAGGTAACTTACGTGTTATATTATTTAGCTAAATTTATATATAAATGCTTTATATATCGTAAAATATATAAATTCTCAGTCATAACTTAGTAGTTTTTCTTGACAATACATTTTACATTTAGTCATTATTCAGATTCGAACCTCGATTGGTGCTGTCAGAACTAATTATATACGACGAATTTTGGAGATTTACCAAACATTTAAGAAATGAGTAATAATAGTTAAATAATAATCATATATTAAGTGAATGACAACATAAAATAAACTATCAACTTATAGAAAACAATCATTTAAATTATCACTGCTTTACTTTGTCTATAATAATCATCGCCGTTTTCTTGCAAATATCTTGTCTTCGTATTTCACGTGACAATTTCACACAAAATTGAATAAATAAGTTTAGTATTTTTATGTAAATTGTTTAGTTTTTATATATGTTTATTAAGGTGTCTATGAACACGTCCAGGTGTATATGTGTAGGGATGAATATATACCTACAAACATGTACGCACATGTAACTTCATAAAAAGTATTATCCTACACGCTATGAACTCCTGAAAGGTTTACAGCATTACTAAGAAGGGGCTCCCCATTAAAAATATGATACTTTTTCATTTTGGTAAGTGGGTCGGACCAAGAATTTTCGGCACACCCTTGGGTATATCTTTATACAGGGTGATCCACGAGTTAATTTATTATTATCCTAAAACAGGGTTATTCTATTTCGGCTGAAAAACAGTTTCTTTTCGGCCTTCATATGCCATTTAATTTGTTAGATTCATAATTTTATTAATTTTGTTATTGTTTAATGTTATACTAATTTTTATTTAATACTGTTTTATAATATTACATTTGCGTAACTGTTGAGCAACCATGTATAAACTGACGCACACATTGACGAAATCACTTCGCTAACAAGACTTAATTTGAAACTGTCGAAAGTACTCAGGCCAGGGTCATCAATTGCATCTGACAATTCAAATATAAGGGTCGTGTTATTCAAGAAATTGATAGTAAGGTAATGGCTTATTAAGTCTTGTTAGCGATTTCGCAATTAATCATATTAACATTGCTAATTAATTCCTTGTATAATTACTTTTTATGATATAATATATATACTGCACAATCTAATATATTTAGGGAAAAAATCAGATCCGCGTAGATTCAGAATCTAAAATACGGTGTTATATATATATATATATATAATAAATTTACTTATTTAAAAATATGGTTCCATCTCTACGCAGGAATTACCATGTTTCAAAAACAGAAGCTAAAAACTTCAAATTCAATTATAGAATTAAATCAAATTAAAGTCCCTAGTTCTGTTTCATTTTCAAGCGAATTTTGAAATAACTAATTTTGAAGTTTACGGAGGTTTATAAGCACATACATTTATAATATTAGTTTCTATGGATATGGGGAAAATCAATAATATTAACAAGGAGCGGTAGGGTATTCATTTTGTTTATAGATTCTTCTGTTAAGCTTTGAGAATATATATATATATATATATATATATATATATATATATATATATATATATATATATTATAATAAAATTATGATTGACTTTAAAACACTGTTATAATTAGTGGAGAAAATGATGCATTTCAGTATTGCCCAATGATCTTACCGATGTGACCTCCATCTTCTGGCTTTCTTCTTCTATATTTTGGATATAGTTATTCCCTTGTTCAAATTTAAATTTAACTTAAATAAATGGGAAAAAATCAATGGTGGGGTTTGTGCTAAAACAGCTTTATGTGATCCCTTTGATATGTATTTAGTACAATACACGATTCAATGAATTGATGATCGGATATCAACATTGATATGATTGTTGAATTGTTGCAACAAATATGTATTGTAAGGCATTAACACTGGTTGGTGATTTCTTGTTCACCTTGACGTCCATATTGTCACATGTTGATCTTGCCGACGTGACCTCCATCTTCTGGCTTACTCCTTCTATACTCAACAGGTTTTTTAGTGATTATTACGATAAATGGTGTCAGGATGGCTAAACGTCTTATCTGAAAGTAGTTTAGTGGTTTTTAGATATAAAACCTTTTGTGGGATGGACAAGTTATTCAGCAAAAAAGAGAAAAAGTTAAACTTGTTTTGTGTCAGACCTACTGTCTTCCTAAGTAAGCAATGATGAGAGGAAAAAGATTATTCAGGCTTTCAGTAATGGTACCAACATTCATACTCTGGCTTCCATCTTCAAAGTCCATCCAAGAATCATCAATGGAACGGTGAATAAGTTTTAAAAAGAGGGAACAGTGGAGAGGAAAACTGGATCAGAAGGTCACAACAGGAAGAGGTATCATCATTTCAACTTAGACCTAAAAAAATCAATTAGAAAAGATCTAACTCAATTCATAAGACGTTTGGCACGTGAGAGAGTTGTTTCAGGTATGACAGTCCAAAGAGCAGTGAAAAAAGACTTGAAAATTAAATCGTACGTGAAACCTATGAGATTTATTTTTTTGTTACTTCAGAACAGAAAGTTAGAAGGTTAGAGTGGACGAAGAACATCTTGAAAAAGTTTGAAAATGATCCTGGAACGCACACACACACACACACACACACACACACACACACACACACACATATATATATATATATATATATATATATATTTGAATTTATTTCAATACTTCATGGGCCTTAGTTATGATTTATTAATTATGAATATGTCATTTTCGTTTTTGATCGATTTTATCACGATTCTTCTGTTAAGTTTAGAGAATAATTATATATACATTCTTATTGGTCAACGTAGAGTCCTATAGTGTTATAAAACCTCGGAGAATTCTAGTATGATATCTTTAATCATTTCTAAGATACAGCAGTTCGGAGCTTAATCTAACAATTGTACAATTTTGCTGTTACACGATTTGGACAAGTTTACTGTTACACCTGTATATATATATATATATATATATATATATATATATATATATATATATATATATATATATAAACAAACGTTTAAATAGAAACAAAATCTGTTGAAATTTTTATTGTATTTTTCCAGTTTTGTACTGGGATCGAAAAAATGTTGAAGTTCAGGTTTGTGTTGCTTTTTTGCTCAAGCTTTTTGGGCCGTGTCAGTCATTTTCAAGAACCTAGTTGTTGTGGGCAAGAATCCGTTGTCTACATTGTAATATTCTTTGGGAAGCTTAAAGTTTGAAATAGAATACGGTGACACCATACTCACACATATACATACACATACATTTTAGTTGTATTGAAAATACTCATACAGAACGAAAAAAGAAAATAAATAAAAATTTAAACATCAAAATGTTTTTCTCGAATTCCATCTTCTACACTTAGGACATTTCCATATCAACCATTTAACTATATATCTATGCTGTTAGCAGGGTAGTTGCTTGTGAGCTTGTATCTCCGTCTTTCTTTCTCTCTATCTATCTATCTATCTATCTATATATTTCTCTCTATGTATATTGTATACACATGGTATGTAATAATAGTATATGATATATATATATATCGAATGTGATATATAGTATATATATGGTACGTGATAAAGTCAAATACAAATATACTGGTAGCTATGCAAGAGACCACAACCAAATCTAGGTAAATAGGAATAGTGCATGTGAAATGAATGCAGTACGGATTTCTACCGCTGCTATTTGTGAGTAGTGCTCTTAGAGAACCGGCAAATGTTTAGGTTAAAATTTAAATTTTCAGGGTCAAATTTTTTTGGATAAAGCCTTTTATATGTCTATATCTGTGTGGAGGTATGTCTGTGTGTGAGTGTGTCTGTTCGCATACTGGGGTGCACTTGAATCATGTATGTATGCCTGCCTCTGTGTATATATCTGTATATATGTTGTTGTTTTTTTTTGTCGAGTTATGTACTTCTGAAAGTGTACGCTTATACCTGTGCGCATTTGTGCAGATGAACACGTCAGTTCCTCATGGGTAGCACACCTCTGTTAACACGTAAATGTGAAGCTCAGCCCACACCGAGAACGCCCGGTATTCGTAGGATGTTACGTTTGCATTCCAACCATTGTTACCATTCACAATCTGCTTACACCAATAAACTGACTTTTCATTCATATTTTACATTCGTCATCTTTCGACCTGTTTCTTCTTCTTCTTCTTCTTCTTCTTCTTTTCCCTTCTTCAACTTATTCTTCTCTGTTTCCTACGCTTCCTCCTTTTTTTCTTTTTCTTCTCCACCTCTTCCTGCCACTTCTTCATCTTTCACGTCTTCTCTTCCTCCTCCTTTCTTCTTCTCTCTCTTCTCATCTTCTTCTTCTTCTTCTCTTTCCTCTCCTTCTTCTTATTCTTCTCTCTCTCCTCCTCCTCCTTTTTTTTCTTCTTCTTTTTCTTCTTCTCTTTCCTCTCCTTCTTCTTATTCTTCTGTCTCTCCTCCTCCTTCTTCTTTTTCTTCTTCTTCTTCTTCTTCTTCTTCTCAGTTTTTTCGTCTCTTCCTCCTTCTTTTTCTACTCTTCCTCCTTCTCATTCTCATCTTCCTCCGTTTTCTACGCTTCCTCCTTTTTTTTCTTTTTCTTCTCCATCTCTTCCTGCCTCTTCTTCATCTTTCACTTTTTCTCTTCCTCCTGCTTTCTTCTTCTCTCTCTTCTCATCTTCTTCTTCTCTTTCCTCTCCTTCTTCTTATGCTTCTGTCTCTCCTCCTCCCCCTCCTCCTCCTCCTTCTTCTTCTTCTTCTTCTTCTCAGTTTTTTCGTCTCTTCCTCATTCTTTTTCTACTCCTCCTCCTTCTCATTCTCCCCCTCCTCCTTTTTCTTCTCCTCTTACTACTTCTTCTTCTGCTCTTTTCCCTCCATTTTCTTTTCTGACTTTCTTTTCTCTTTATTCTATAGAAGTTGTTTCAGTCAATACCCAACATTTTGTCGATATTACCAGAGGAATGAATAAACACACTATAATTCTGACTTTAAAAAATGCTACTCTAATTAAAAGAGAAAATGATAAAACGAAACTATATAGAAAATTCATCCACAGTAAAATTTACTTTCGAATTCGTATAATTTATCACCATTCTTGTCATATCGTCTATTATCACAATGTGGGATATTTAATAACAAAAGTCTTACGGCCATATCAAGTTGAAACATCAGTTCCCGTACGATCACAGAAGTTAAGTAAAGTTGAGCCTGGTTAGTACCTAAATGGGTGACCACTTGGGAATACCAGGTGCAGTTAACATGGATGTGCAGGTGGTGTAATGGATAATGGCTCAGAATTGCTAATCGCAATTGCTGAGTTCCAATTTCAGTTTGGTTCGTTATATTTATTTACGCGCAAATTCCCTTGTAAAAGATATGAATCCACCGCTTACCTCACTAAAACCTGTTATCTTAAAAAAAAACAATCTTATAATTAAAAAAATATTTTCTGGCTTTAAATAACCTGTAAAGGGTTGATAAAACGTAGAAAACGAATCATTCAATTAATAATAAAAGTGATAAAAACATAGACAAAAAGGATCTAAATGAATTCGGCGAGACTATATGTCCAAACACATAATTAAAAAAAAAAAATGAATGAAATAAATTAAAATAATTTAAAATTTAGTCGCATCAATGTGGATGGCATTTTAGTTGGTTGAATTTCGAAACATCGAAAAGCTTCACACGAAAATTCTTTCCATTTTCTCATATATTTTGCAAAAATTGTCCTAATATATATAAATCCATGTATCTTTTTCGCGCACGCACACATACACACAAACACACACACACACACACACACACACACACACACACACACACACACACACACACACACACACATATATATATATATATATATATATGTTTGTGTATTTCAAGAAATTATCAGCATTAGGTTGCTTATTTTTAGCATAATATTCGTAAATATGAAAGAATTATGCTAAAAATAAGCCGGTATAATATTTGTAATTTATTTAATCAGACATTCCTAGAAAATAACTTTCTGCCTTCTTACACACACACACACACACATACATACACATGTATGTATGTATGTATGTATAAAATAATAAAAAAGTTAATGCTCAGAGTAGAATTAGACCAGGAAACAGTAGTATCAAAAAGTACTTAATGCACGTATAAAAAATGACCTTCCCAACCAAAATAAATTATTAAATAAACGATCTGAGCTTATCTCAAAATGCAGCCATGAAAACAAATTTTTACTACGTTACTTAAAAATGGAAAACTGAAAAATAAAATGAAATAAATAAAAAAATGTCAATAAAATAAGTAAAATAAATTAACCCAAACAAATTACCAAATCAAATCCGTTAGAATAGACGAAATAGAATAAATAAATAAAAAATAAAAAACAAAATCAATGCACCCCAAAAAATAAAGTAAATAATAAACAAATTAACAAACCATTATGACCAAAATATAAGTTAGACTATAAAAAATCAAACCAAGAATCGGACGAAAAACATAGCTATAACTTTTATATAACGATAAAAAGTACTACATTATTTAGAAATCGATAATCTAAAAGAGTAAATAAAAATATACAGTATAATAAATAAATAATGAAAAACAAGTAAAATAAATTAATCTAAATTTATCCAAATAAATAAATAAACAAAGAAACCAATCCCTATAAATTAACCGTTAGAAAAAACATGTAAAAGTAATCAATTCAAATAAATAAATGAAGTAATAAACAAATTAAAAACTGTTCCCGCCAAAATAATAGTTAGAATAAACTACAATAATCAACCCCACAATTGAATAAATAGCTTTAATTATCTTCCCAAACCAAACCAAAACTATTAAATAAGCGATATAAACAAATTTCTACTACGTTAATAAAACACCGATTAAAATAAAAATAAATAAATATATAAGATAAGAAATAAAAATAAATAAAAAACACACAAAATAATTTAACCCAAATAAATAAATAAACAAATAAACTACTCCCGGCAAAATAACCGCCAAAATAGCTACCCACAATGCACCACTGACCCCTATATATAAATAGCCGAAAAAAACAGCACTCGTGGCCTGACGATTGCGTCTAGCATGAAACAGCCTGTCGCCTCTAAATGCTGACTTCAATGTTCACTTTATATATATATATATAGTGCTGTTCGATAAAAGTGACTCAACTGATTTTTTTTACTAAAAATATTTTTTGTCTATTATTTTGGGGCTTAAAATAATTTTTAATCTTACTAATATAAAAACTGCTTCCCGACCACCTAGGAAAAAAGTTTATTGACCCTAAGGTATTCTATTGATAATTATAATTTTGGATATAAATGAGATTCAGAAAAAAAAGCTCTGTACAAAAAAAGTGACTCAGATAACGCATTCTAATGATTAAACTGGTAAATTTAAAGAACTTTTGACAAAATATTGAAAACTATTTCGCAATACACTCAGAACAATATTCTAGAGAATTCTAGAACAGCTTAAATTAAATCTAGAGTATTCCAGAATATTCCATAAAGCCTCATACAGTATAAAAACAGCTTGAAATAGCCACTCAAGTCACTAACCAGATGAAAAGGTACAAACACGCATTAGAACTACTTAAGGCATCTATTATTGTCCTCTCAAAAGGAGGCAAGTCTACGAGAGAAATTGTAGAATTTGCTATAACCTCGCAATCAACTGTCTCTCGAGTGCTTAGGGCACATAATGATGCCAGTCCTGTTCCAAGGAAGGAAACAATGAGACGAAAGAAAAAAGATTGATGATAGAACTGGCAGGGTAATCAAGAGAGAAGCTGCGAAGAATAGGACTATAACTAGCCAAGAAATTGCAGCCAGTCTAAGCGAAGAGCAAGGTGTTAGTCTTGCCTCTTCAACAGTCCGTCGGTGACTGTTAGAACAAGGCTACAAATCTTGTACACGAAGGTTTAAGCCGCTAATAAGCAAAGCCAACAAAGCAAAGATATTTGAATGGGTTCACTATTACAAAAATTTCACCGTAGAAGACTGGAAGAATGTTCTCTTTTCCGATGAAACAAAAGTTGAGCTAAATTAAAAGGATAAGGTGAGTCACTTTCATCGAACAGCACTGTATATATATATATATTCTTGGTTCCACTATTTTGATTGTGTCTATTAAGCATACATGCCTGTGTTTCAAACTGTAAAGGATGAATTAATGAATGAAAAGTGACAGTATTAAAAAAAAGAACAAAAGGATAAATATTTTTTTAAAAAGAAATGAAAAGGGAAGAAAAATCAAAATGTAGAGCGTCAATGTATTTGGTTTAATTTGTGTTGGAGTTAAATATTGACTGGTTTGGATTTCGGTGTCACATATGTTTTTACATTTTGCCTCACTGCAGAACTTCTTTCCTAGGACCTTTCGATGTAGGCCGGTTGGTATTAATTTCAAATTTTAAAAATAAAAAACAAAACAAAAAACACGGGGATAGCCACTCAAATACATGTACCCACTAAAAGAAATGACGATTATCGCGATAAGAAATAATATCGGATTAAGAAAATCCATTTAGAGACATGGATACATATTGCATTATATATAGGATTTTTAATCATTTCACCCCCAAGCAAGTCGATAAAGCCACTAAGACGCAAGAGTTTACTGTCTGTTAGAGAATACGAGAAAAAAAACTATTAAGGAGAGAGGACAATAAAAGAATAAGAATTTAGAAGACAGAAGATAGTGACTGACATTACATTGAAATTTTTAGAGATCAAAATTGACTGGGGAGGAAGAAGACGCCAGATAGTCTCACAAGCGAAAAGTGCGATAGAAGATAGAAGTTACGGTTACATCTAGTCATTTCAAGTGTAAATAGATGAGACCTTCCCGCCAATCTAGTACTGCGCTTAAATTCATAAAGTCTAAGTGAGAGCAATTACGATGAAAGTAATTCTGTCTATGAAAAGTCAGAGAGAAGCATCGTTACGGCGGTGGGAAAGAAACTGAAGCCGTGATGCCAGGTTAGGATCAATAACATTGCAGATTCGTCTTTGGATTTTATCAAGAATCTCTGAATATATAGCAGCAGCACCAGACCAGAACACTGTTCAAAGCAAGGACTAATGGTTGCCTTATGTATACGGCGGTGGGAAAGGAACTGAAACCGAGATGCCATGTTAGGATCAATAGCATTGCAGATTCGTCTTTAGATTTTATCAAGAATCTCTGAATATATAGCAGGAGCACCAGACCAGAACACTGTTCAAAGCAAGGACTAATGGACTAATTATATATACGGCGGTGGTGAAGACGCTGAAGCAGAATTTAGTGGTGGATATTTATATAATTTATCTATGCATAAACGTAAGATATTTTGACACTCGAGACGTTTATAATTGGCGTGTCCGTAATATAGACACTGTTAATATATTTCTACTTCTGCCAGGTTCAAAATTGATATTAATATCTTGCGTAATGATGCATTCTCGATTTTCTAATCGTAATTCTGAATAATGTTTCTTGATGAGGCTACGGCAGCGATTACATTTTTTTTTTCATATTCTTCTTCTTCTTCTTCTTCTTCTTCTATGTGCGCATGTTTGTTTCATTTGCTGAAGCTATCCCCACCACGCGCTCTCATCCAAGCACAAGCTCATCTAGTAATCTACCTTCCCATATATTTCTTGTCTTCAATACACCCTGTAACGCTTAGGTTCTTCAAGGTTTCATTCCTCGTTATATGTTCAGGGAAATTTCAACCGCCTCTTCCTGATTCTTAGAATGTGTTTATATTTAATCATTACACACCAAGCATGGCGATAATGCCACTAAGAAACAATGGGTTACTGCGAGTGAAAGAGAATCAGAAAACTTTAGTGAGGAGAAAGGACAATAATAGAACAGGTTTCTGGAAGACAGAATACGATGACTGACGTTGCATTTAAATTTTTGAAGAGTTCAGGTGTCAGGGAAGCAAGAAATCGGATGGTAGTTCCACAGGTGAGAAATCTGAGAACAGAAACTATTAGAATAATGCATGTAGTTACATCTTACTAGTTCAATAGTAAAAAAAGGTTAGACATAGTTGCCAATCTAAGAGTGTGCTTAGGAAGAAAGCGTTATTTATTTATTGAGGCACCAAGGAAGAAAGCGTTATTTATTTGTGTTGAAACATGACTAATGCATGGAATAATAATACAACACAAAACGTACTTAGAACAAAATGTATTGAAACAAGAAAGTGTACACAATATTTACATATAGTCTTTTGTATATTCTTGGGAA